TACATTCTGCCTGTTCTATAAACAGCCTGTATTACGTCACACGTTAGTCTCCTCGAGAGTTCAACATAACCTGGAGGTCTTCCACGTATGGTTATTGTACCATTATGAATACGCAGGGGCGCGTGACTTCCGCGGACACCCGAGAACATCCGAGTAAACCCGAAGACTAGGCTCTTGTCCGGACTTCCGGCTTTGCTCATAAGCACGTGCATGAAAGCAAGCGTCACGATTAACGCGTTTCCATTACATATGCCTAAGATTTTACACGAATATTCTGTATACTGGGATGCATAATATGCGTACTACATTACTATACTACTATACATATATGTATACACGAAAATTAGTTTCCTTTGGTATTTTAAACATTTGTTGCACATATGCACATTTATGTACCATAGAGGACTATAATTGGTTCACGAGTCCAATTTATTTATTTTTCGACAGTTTGCAAACAATGCTATCCTTAACAAACACAGATGACTTTTAAAGCAATCACGACATATATATCCTAAAGTAAAACAACGGTGCAAAGTAGAACCTTGCAAATTGCTTCCTCATTATTTTACTTGGTATTTTCTATCACAATGATGCAAAGTAGAATCTTACACTTTGAGTCTTGATTCTTTTCCTTCGTTCACAAAGCCTCCACTATGAGGAAGTTCTTTGATTTATTTGCGCGAGTTATGTACAATTGAACTATGGTACTTACAGGAATAAAAAATTAAAAATGAGGTAAAAAAAACAAAACTAACGATAATTTTTTGAAAATTTCAAAACCACGTAAAATCTGAACCGCTTTAGCGATCTTGTCGAAATTCAATACCAAACAACATTGAACGTATCTTCAGTTATGAAGAACTATTTAGCTAAATCGTCGAACGTTTACGAAAGTTAGAGCGACCACGCCCTTTTTTCAAAAATCGCAACATTTAAAGAGGGATATCTACTTTACTTGCGTGCCAAATTTCAGTCCGATAGTTCTAACGGTTACTGAGTAAGAGGCAATTGAATTTTCGAAGCCCTGCACACACACCCACACACACACATACACGCGCGCGCGGACAATTTTTCTAAACTACTTTTCTTGACGTTTTAGACCATGTTAAGTATTCTAACATGAAAATCTCGAAAACAAAATTTTTCATGAAAACATAGCTTCCTCTATGAGGAAGCAAAAATAAAATATATTTCGGTGCAAAACAATTTACATGAATATTTTGTTTGCCCTCTGGGACCGACTATACATATATTACAAAATATGTAATTGGTAACAAGAATTATGAGGAACCTATACGAAATTTTCCATTCAGAGTCCATTAATTACTTATGCTTTGATATTTGTCTATAATATAAATACATAAAATGCTGCATAATATTGAAATATATATTCGTGCACGTAATTTCGGTGTATATTTGTCGTAATATTAAAGAGAAATATGGAGTAAAGTTCTTTTTTCTTTCTTTTCAGTATTTCGATAAATGCTACGTGAGCAATTGCTTTAGACCCGATGAAACTGGGCAACTATTTCCCATGTAAATGGTCACGTGTCACGTGAGAATATGTATTGCTGCGAATAGTATGAATATTAGAGAGTGTAATAGGCAGAGATTACGCCAGGTAATTGTGAATGATCGAAATGCCCGTTTGAAACAGGTATCATTACCGTAGGCGATGATTCCAATGGAAAAGCTATCGAGACAGTCAGAGTAAAGTTAATGCCTCCAATAACACAAACCATAATTCCTAATAACGGTATAACAGACAATTTATGAACAATCATATTTTCACTTGATCCCAGACTGCACAGACATACAGCAACGTAAGGAAATAACACTTATTTTCTCGACCAGTTCATTTTTTTTTTCTTTTCATTTTAAATCGAGTAAACGGATAATCCTTCCTTCTGTCGTAGAAAATCCTTATAATACTTGGATCGATCAGGCGTCGCAACGCTACGTTTGCCATAGGGTAAAACCATCGTCTCCAATGTCAAAGGGGGTGCCTGTACCAAACTGCCAAACGAGAGGTAGCTAATATAGGTATAAGAGGACAACTGACTATGTATGGTTAACCTAACCTATTCCAATAATAGCTTAACCTAACCTACAAAACTAAGAGAACACAAGAAAGGAAAGAGCGAACGAAAGAGTAGGATTTCCCACGCTCCACGCTGGATATAGAAGCCAGTGGAGCATTATGCACGCCATTGCCGTTATTATATTTATAACATTTGACCCGACTCTACCCGTGCACATTGAAAGATCCGACTCACGGTGCATCTCCAACAGTGCGTATTAAGGATTCCCTGGTGACCGCGCGAAATTACGATTAGCCTCTTTAGCCCGGACAATTGACCACCAAAGTAGAATTCGTATTTTTTGTTCATCTTGAATTCTTTTGAATATTTTAAATATTTGTTACAATAACAGATAATAACTTCTTTCTCTGCCGTAAAAAAAATACCACACTACACGGGCCAGAAAACACAATACCCAAAGTGAAGATTAAATATTAACGAATGCCTTGAATTAAAAAAAAAAGACAATTATAATTCAAGCGCAAAGTGGGACGTACGACAAATACAATAGAAATGATATGTCAAGGTTCATTCCTTACTGAAACGTTTCTTTACCATAACGTAAACAGATGCCTAATCCCACGTCTTCCTACATAGATTTTAGTCAGCAGAGCATGTTAGAATGTCAATAGTAGGAATTTATTTTAAGACTAATTAAGAAGAATGTAAAAAAAATCAATACATAGCTAATATATGAAGAATTTAAGTTGAGAAAGAATATAGTAATAGTAATAGTCAAACACTTCGGAATTATAAATTGGAGCGCATTCTAGCCCGCCACGAGCTTAGCCTAACCTAACCTAACCTAACCTAACTGAACCTAAACTCCTCCGGCATAACAGGCAACCAAATTAAAACGATATCGCGAAAGTTGCAACGTTCAATCGAGCCGATCCAGGTGGGATCGAGTGCGAATAGCTCGAGGGCATATATCGGCAAGGATTGCCTACTTCTATCATGGCCGAAGGCTTATCGTTAAGTCGTAGTGAGAGGGATGGACGTTTGTGCGATTCACTACCTGACGCCAGGTACATCCTGTTTCACATATTTAATCACAGAGAGGACCTTACCGGGATAGCACCCGGCACATAACTGAATTAGAATTATTATCTTTATCCGTGGCTATCTTAACAAGGTATGAATTAAAAACTCCCACCAATTAACCCTTACTAACCCATACAGGAAGTGATATCGTTACCCACACACCAGAATCAGGCTACTTAATGCTGAAGTAGAAATAAATAATCGTCCTGGCCAATTTAGCGTCCCTTTCCCAAGCTCCATGTCCCGGATTTCCCCAAGCGAAACAAACTGTCCCGAAGCTTTAACGCACCAGCGTCTTTATTAATTAGTGACACGCACGCGTCTACTGTAACGTCCCGACGACACGGCGACGCTTTTTTTTATTCATTACACATAGTAATTGTTCCTCGTCACAGACACAATTTCATGACTGGTTCAATAAAAAATGTTAATTCTCTTTCAGGATATTCTTCTTCTCTTCTTTTATTATCTTCATTAAGCACACCTGTGACTTTTTAGTTACCTCAGAGGTTAATGGCTTTTGGAGAAAATATGCAAACATTTTTTGAGAAAGCAAAAAACCTGTTACATGAAATATCGATGATTATTTTTTACAGAAAAGTCTCAACTAGTATTCCTAGGTTCGTGGGAATTCCCTTTTCTTGACTTATGTTAGACTGATTATTGTCACTTTTACGTTCAATTAGTTCACACCAACTAGTAAATAGGCAGCAGATACATATGTACTCTTGTATCTGTTACTATATAGTCATCGGTTTATAGTGGATACAGTATCAGAAGCGTAACGAATGTTGCACTATAGTACTATATAAAACTAGTACCTATAGTAATACCAGAATAGATTTGCAAGTCTCGGGTGCCGTTCGCCACAGCATAAAAACCATAAATAGAGAGCCTGGAGAAAAGGTGGATTTGCACGAGGAGCAGCCGACCTTGCATACAAGCTCTTATTCTGGGACATTTATAGTAATTTACCGCTTGTATTACGTCAGAATAACTTGGCGCACAGAGGATAATACCCTGACTATGTTTATCCCGCGTGATTTCATTGAACTCATAAGTGAACGTTACAAATAATATACTAACGAAAATCAGTACCAGGCGAATCATCCAGTCTTTATGGAGTTGTAACGAAATTTTGTATCTTGAATGAAAACATAAATTATCAAAAATAAAAGAATTACGTTTTTACTTAGAACAGTTCATTCATAAAGAACGGTTCAAAGAAGAAAAGGAATGAATACCAAAAAAAAATGTTGAAGGAAAAGCTTGTAAACAAAGATGCTACGTTACCACAAACATGTCAGCCGTTCAGTAGAAAAATATAAAAAAATTAATATGGGGGCCTTCAACGATGTCAGAAGCAAAGGGATATAAAAGACGGCAACATTGCTTCTCCAATGAATATTCCCACGAAAATGATTATTCCCTCAAACACACAACAAGATCAAGAAATCCAGAAAGTTGAATTTATCATTGATAAAACTTTGGAAGAAAAAAATGAATGTAATATTCAAAAAACTAGTAAATCAATTTACAAATTGCAGATCAGAATGACACACGCGCCGTATACATCCGTACCAGGAACTAAGTCGATTCCCTATTGAAACCATGGAGCTTCATCCCCTAACGTTCTTATTATGAAATTTCCTTTAAGCAAGGGTTGTGACTGACTCGAAAAGTAAGAAAGATATTATGAATAAAATTAAGTAATATCAAAGGATGAGTGATGTAATCAAGAGGATGCCCACTAATCTGTGTAACTGCCTGGAGCTTATGAGGCCCCCGACTCTTGGTACACACCTGTGCGTCTACGAGAACTTTTTTCTTTGGATATTCCCCCAGAAAAATAAAATGAATGTTGTAAGTACTCACGGTGCTTCCACAAGTTACCCTTCTAAACGGTATCCGGAATTTTCAAGATGTCCTGAAATCACCCGAGTCACGACGATGCACCAAAACCAAACAACATAACCTTACACCGTACAGCTCTACGCGGCTTCTACCGCTACGTGAAGCACACTTCCTTCTTCGCGGCGAACACTATTCAGTTACTAAAGTACTACGATATACTGTCAGGTTGCGCGAGAGTGTTCTGTACCGAAGATACCCAGCCCAGGCACCTGCGCAGGTGTGCCACCCGTCGTTTCTACAGTACTTAAAATACCTAGACTTGTTATACATTTTTTCCCTATATTTATTAAAGCATTATCTTTCTCTATTTCAATTACAATTTCAATTACGAAGATTTGTAATTGTGATTGGATCGTACACAAAAGTTAGTTTTCGTCTGACATCTGTTTGAGAATATATGCTGTCGATTAAGAAACAGAGTTTAGGTTTGTCACGCTATGTGGCGCTAGTGAAAATGCATCTCACAAATGCATTTGGGATACATCTGTATGCTTCTCTCTTTCTGTCTCTCTCGTTTCGGATTTATTCTTATTGATTACGCACCGGTTTTGCTTGCAAATTTCAATACTACTTTAAACTTTTACTTAACACAAATTTCCTGTTATTACCTGCTACTCTTTTTTCACCTGGCACTGAAATTTTACATGGTATATAAAATAGATAAATCCGTTTATAAATATGAATATTATCGAATGTATATGTATATTCAATATATTGATGCAGCAATCGGACACATTTTAATGACTATTTTTTTTAACAGAAATGTGTCAGGATTGCATATGCAAAATGATATCAGTGGAATGAGCGGCTCGTTACACGACACAATTCAAAGTGGAAGCTTAGTATTTTGTGGTACGTAACGTATAATGCATTCACTTTTGATCATTGTACCATAATAGTTCATAAATAACTCATCGAAAACTAAGTAACACTCATTATACAAAATTATAATTATTAGAAATAATTATTAAAAATGTATGAATTTAATAATAAAAAATATTGACTTACTGCATGTGATTTCATAAGGAGCTAACGCTGGTTTCAACATTATATTTGTGTGGAGCGCTCAGTGATTACTTTGAAATTTCTCCAGGACATCGGAATGACTTATGGTCATCTATCGGTTGTATAAATACTGGGTACAGCTTTTATCTTTACAAATTTAAGTAACTTTATTGGATTGATTTGATTTATTTAATAATGTCCTAAATTTAAGTATATCCCGTACATATAACATTGTTGCTAAAACATGGTTTTATGAGTAAACAGAGAATGATTTCACATAAATTGATCTAAAACAAAGTGTTGCATTGACGCTAATAATTATATTACAAAGTAGTTATGAAAGAAATATTCGTGAAATTACCTAACACAATTATAAACAATAGTGATACTCTTTTCGCTCTTCAACGAAAATGTTTAACAATGTACCCAGAAAGCCGAAAGCCCTAGGATTTCAAACAAAAGCATGACAGCCAATATTAGTGAATGTAAAAAAAATAATCACTATATATAAGTTTGAATAAAATTACAATAGATGGCAACAGATTTCACACTGTTTCACAGTTTTGTTTTGCGCTGATGTTGTAGCTGTCAAAACGAAACTTGAAGGTTAAAGGAAAATATGGGTTCTTCAAAAGATGATGAAGATTATTGGAACAGTAGTGAACAACATTCCTTTTGCTTTGAGAATAATGAGGTTTCTTATTTAAAATATCAAACATTCCTCAGTGTAATATTCAAAAGTTGTAATGCTTACCTAACCGTTTCCGTATTCTACTTTCTTTCAGGAGGACAATTTTTTCGGTTTTTCAAAGACAGGAACAGCACGTTTACGTGCTGGAATTTCCAACATTGACTTATCCGATGATTATTTAAAGACTAGTGACTCCCAAACAAATTTGAAACCATTACTATCAGTAATCTCTGAGAAAACTCTTGCCAACAGTATGCTTTTGAATACTTCAATGTGATTTACCAATGATAATGTCCTTAATGTATGTCAATTCCAGTACTAGAAGCAGATAAAATGCAAAATTTGCCTGAAGGACAGTCTGTGACACAGCCTGATATTACCTTAAGGAGAATACTACTTGGACAGCCATTCTCTCTAGAGAAATACAAATCTCTTGCTAGCAAAACTGCATTACTAGATGCAGCAATAGAATCTGGTGATGGAAATGCCATTTTAGTAGTCAGTAGATCTTTGGTATCATAATATTATCTTTGTAAAAGAATATGTACTAATATAATATTTTTAGATAGTTCTGTTCCTCACAAAAACTTTAAAAAGGTCATTATTTGAAAGGCTTCTAATGGATAGACCAGGTGCTACACAGGTGTATATACGTTATCTTTCGACTCGCTTACAAACAAGTGAACTCACTGATCTTCTAACGTATGATTTTTAACAAAATTTTTACAAATTACTATTAAATTATATTGGAAGCATAATGGCTTTTAATTTGCAGAATGCTGGGGCGCTCCATGGATGCTGCGGTAAAAATATTTATAGAGATTACTCAAGGGATTTATGCTAACGAGCTTAATACAATTTTTTTCAGATGAGAACGTTACAAATTATTATTAAAAATACTCCTAATCCAGAGAGGCTTCTGCAAAAATTGCATAATTGTTATAAAACGCAATTTCTTGCACTAGCAGATTGTAAAGAAACCCCATTCATCCAAAATTACATAAAACTTTTGGGTACGTTATCAATGGTATTAATATAGTTTAATCTTTGATATTATATAACTTCACTTAAGTTTCATAAATTCTTTGATACAGAATGGCAAAAGGCTGTAAAGGACACAGGATTTACCGAGGCCTTAGAAATGAATTCTCCTGTGATGGAGTGCTTACGACATGCATGTAGAGATCATTGGGGTGCCTCCGAAAGCTCTTTGTGGTCACCAGCAATGTTATTAAAACAACATACAGTCTCTTTAAGACAATATCAAAAAGTAGCGTTAACAACAAGAGCTGCATTACAATCCTGGGATGATATTGACATTTTGCTATTGACAAAGGTAGCCTTTTGTAATTTATTAAATTAAGAAATACAATATAGGCAAAATTGCGATTTACAGGGTTGGCTTGGGAGCAAAAAGCTACAAACGTATTTGCCAATTGAAGATATCATAAAAATTTTACACAATAATAATGCACCAACTAACATTTTGGAAAAATATCTTGGATATGTGGATGATGTTAGACAACGTTTAGAATTGGCTAAGAGATTCCAATGTCATCGAATAGTAGTAGACGTAAATATATATTTTTAATATCCAGTACGTAAACCTCAAATAGATTTACAAACGTACTGTAAATTATATTTTTTCATAGATATTAGTATTGCAAGGAGACCGCGCTGCACTTCTGGAATATAAAACGATGCTTCATCCACAGTCGGAACATTGTTTTTATGCTGAGAATGCTTTACGCGCTTCTACCACCAAATGGAAAAGCTAATAATAATAGTACCATCAATAAATGTATAATAAAACTGGAAGTCCAGCTTTGCGCCTGTTAATGACTCAGTATATTCTATAAGTACGTTAATTCAAATCTAAGCAATTTCTGAATATCTATTCTTGTCTTTTATACCATGATTAATAGATACTCTGTCTAAACTGTCTCTTTACCAATCATACATTTAGATTTGTCAATAGAGTAAGCATTATTGCTGCTGGTTTTCAATTGGACATCAATCTCCATACATGTATGAATCCACATTAATTATGAAAGAGCTTGTATTCCTATAAAAGCGTTCTCCGTGTGGTAAGATTATACAGTCTGGGTGGTACACGCATAATTGACCTTAGTGACTTTATAAGAAATATTTATTAGGTTCACTATGAAGCTGATTATCATAGCGATGTTGTTATTTATGAAAATAATTCAATTGGACTGTTTTAAGAAGGAAATCATTCAAAGTTTTGCAAATCGGAATAAATACAATTGCATCGTTTTCTTAACTGCGATAACAAACGAATTTTATGCCCAAAAAACATTGCTGGAATTGACTAAAAGTTTATCCAGCACTATTCTGATTCCAATAATTATCATAAATTTAAAAACCGAGCGAAGAAATCTCAAATTAACGTCGGACATCCAAGTTTGCTCGAAACCTCTAATAAGCATCGATTCTGAAAATTCGACGGATATAACAGAAAATGATGTCGTAAGTGTTCCAATGATATCTTAAGAATTATATTAATAAAATTAATAATTTCTTATTATTATTCTTATTAAATTAGTTTTTCACCAGTCCATTACCTGGTAGTCTCTGGCTTATGTTCTTGCCAGAAAATCTCATAGTAGAACGGGTCTTTTCCGGAATAATTATTCCTATAAATGTGGAAGTGATAATAACTAAGAAAAATAACAGTGGCTACAAATTTTGGCACATGTATCGACCAGGTCTTGAATCGCCATTAATAATGCGGTATTATGGTAATTGGACATTATCGAACAGTTTAATGGTCCCTCACCGATATTTGCTGTGGCAAAAAGTAACTCTAAATGGAATCACACTACGTGCTGCTACATTTAAAAGTGTAATATTCTTTTCGTTTCTTTTTACATTGCATAGTTCATATTATAAATCTCTTATTGTTCTTTAGGATCCATTCGTCAACGTATCATTTAGGATTAACCATAAGTATCTGATGCTTACTTGGCTGATTTTGGAAAATTGTCTTAATTTTACGTAAGTGTGATATAGTTAATGGGGCATACATATATAGATAAAGCAAGTGTTTTGTGGTTGAATTTTGCAATTTTTTGCAAGGAATTAATTTTTTATAACTCAATTAACTTTATTATATTGAAGTATATGTTTTAAAGTACTTTTAACTTATGTTTTAAAGTACTTTTAACAAAATTAAGATGCCTGCCCGTGCAAAGCTTATTTTTTGGTGCAGCCTTGTCAATGAAATATATATAAAAATTAAAACAAATTAATGTCTTGTACTTGAATATCTGAGCCACATATCTTTTTGATTTTTAATTTTGTTTAAGTACCTTGAAACATATACATGAATAGAGTAGGACTTGACACGAAATAATTCTACGAAAGACAAATCTACACGGTATCTACTTAATAATAAAATAATAACTTTTCACGGCCTAACTCGGTAAAGAATAAGGAAGAATTATACAATTTTTCTAGCCCTTGACTCGACGATTGGTTATAGTTGTATATTTTACGACAAACAAAATAGCATATGAAGCTCATTGCGCTAAATGTTCTAGTTTCTGTGACATGGGCATTTTTTAAATCAGTAATGTTGTGACTCAATAAACGCCTGTGTAGCCCATCACAACATTACAATATTTTGTCGGACTTGGTCCCTCGCCGACGATTCTTTTTAATTAAAACGTCATCAGCATGAGTAATAATGTAGAATGCTGATTTGAAATTTCTCCATTTTTTCCAAGGTTTCTAAACTAAACGTGCTAACACAATAAATATTACACCATTGTTTTTCAAGTCAAAAATAATACCACAAACAATCATCAGACTAAGCGCTTTAGAAAACGAAGGATTATTTAAAAATGCGTATCATTTAGTTCTGATTTTAACACTGCATATCTCGAAAACTATAGCAGTTAACACAATGAGCCTCATACACTATTCTGTTCCGCGTAAAAGTAAAACTATAAGAATTGGAAAATCAAAAGGCTGGAGAAATTGTAGTCTTCCCTTATTCACTGTGAAGTTATTATTATACTATCAAACCTTTTAGTGCCGACCAAACGAATTGTACCTAAACAAAAAAAAACCGAATCAATTTGATTTAAGGTATTACTACGGTAAACTCAAAACCGCGTAATTGAGCTGAAATTTGTGTTACGTCTAATTTGTATAGCAGTACATCTCTCTACAAATTTTTAACACGTTTCACTCATCCATTTCCGAGTATTTCCGAGTATTTCCGAGTTAAACTCAGGACTCGTAACACGTATTCCCTATACCTGGCCAATAAAACGCGCATTGTTTTTTGTATTGCATTTGACTCGTCCGCGTAATTCCGATGAAAAACTAGTATGTGGCAAAGGAAAACAAGCTGCAAGTTGAAACTTGG